GGTGCCTATCCTGGATGGATCTTGCTCTGTAGATCAGGCTGGCCTTGAACTCACAGAGATCCGCCTGGCTCTGCCTCCCGAGTGCTGGGATTAAAGGTGTGCGCCACCACCCCCCGGCCGCTTCCCACCTCTTGATTCATCATTCTCCTCCCTGGCACTGGACCCTGGAGTTGATTCATGAGTGAGGGAGTGTCCTACTCTTCCCCCAGCTGCCTGATAAAGCTACCTTGGAGATTGAGAACAGAGAGCTTGATTAGAGTAAAGCAGCCTTTCTGTGGTGTGTGTTAAGGGAGGCTGATTTGAAAAGCACTTCTGGCCCCCACCCCTTCTCTTCACCTCTCCTTTATCCCATTATCTCTCACATCCCTGTGTCAAGAGAGCACTTGATTCTGAGCTCTGTTTTGTTTTGTTTTTCTTCCTTTTTAAACTGTATTCACAAGTTGGCCTTGTGCCTTCCAGTTGCATTATCTGATGGCAGAGCAGTCAGGTTGAGAGCTAGCCTCCATCACCAGATGAATAGGTGAAAATGTAATATGAGTGATTAAAATATAAATCAATTAAACCTAGTCGGCTCAGAGATCTTCTGCATTGATGGGCTAAGTATCTTGAGTTTAATAATACACTTATGAAGGTTTCATTTAACTAGACTTATAATTATGCCTTTATAATGCTGACTCTGCTCCTTGCCACTCTGGGTTTACAAAAGCACTCCTAATTGATTGCAAATATTTTAATGCAACAATTTCTGAATCGTTTCTATCCATTGCTTAAAGATTTAGCTGAGAACAGCTTTGGCTGTTGTCTTATTGCTGGGATAAAACACCATGACTAAAGCAACTTGAAGAGGAAAGAGTGTATTTCAGCTCACACTTCCTCATCACAGTCCATCACTGAGGGACGTCAGGGCAGGAACCCAAACAGGGCAGGAATCTGAAGGCAGGAGCTGCTGCAGAGACCATGGAGGGGAGCTGCTTACTGCTTCTATGTCCAGACCTAAACTGTGTCAGCAGTTCAACCCAGCTGCTGCCAGTGCAGAAGCCTCAACTCAAGCAGCTGGTACTGTCTAAAGAAAAGGAGGTCCAAGTTCACTGTTGCGCCATAGCTTATTTGCCCATCTAGTTGGTCTCCTTTCAATTTTTATTATAGCCTGCTTTGAATTTCTTTTTAATTCTAACGCCCTTCTTGGCTCTCTGAAATGTGTACTTACCAGAGGCCTCCTGAATCTTCGTCTTCCCTCAGCCTCCAGTCTGCCTTTCCCAGAGCTGCTGGAGGAATCTCCCTTCTGCCCACATCTGATCTGATGCGAGCCTCGGTTAAGACTTTCAACAGCGACTTGATGCTGAGCTCAGCTTGCTGTGCGTGCTGACCCCTCCTCCTCCTCTTCTCCACCCTAGAAACCCCATTCCATAGACTTCTCACCTTCTTCCCCATGTCTCCACCCCTCACCTTTCCCGGATCTGGCATTGTGTCCTACAGACTAGATGGTTTCTGCTCTCCCACCTGGAAAATTTCCTAAAGTAGTTCCCCAAGATCTTGGGCTATAAAATCCAATCTCTGCAAAAAAGTCACATGATCTGGGCCCAAAGTCCCTGACCTTGAGCTGCCAATATCTTCTACTTCTCCCTTTCCTCATCAGTGTTCTGTCTAAAGACGTCACATCATCATCATGAAAATCCCAAACTTCAGTCATTCTTACTTCGGTATGCCCCTGGTTGAATCACTTCCGTTATTTCTGAATTTCTGGCACTGCCTTACCTAGGGACTAGTGAAGCTGAGTGCAGTGGCCTTCTGATTATTCTCTTTGGCACCTGCTTCCTTATATTCCCAAGTGTCCATCCTTGTGTGCTACAGTGATATTCCTAAGAAACATCTGATTGCCATTGTATACTAATAGTGTTAGTTAGCCTTCGTGTTATTGTGACAAATACCTAGAATAAACAGTTTTTACGATGTAGTTTGGCTTGTAGTTTGGAGATTCGGGTTCATAGTCAGCTGCCTGGGTTGCTTTGGGCCCACAGTCAGGCAGAATATCTGGCAAGGATGTGTTATGGAGCAGAGTTGCTCATCTCATGGCAGCCAGGAAGCACAGAGACAGGTTTAGGGGGGGCTAGAGATACAGTCTCTTGAGGACATGGTCCCAGTGACTGCTTCCTTCAGTTAGGTCCCACTTCCTAATTTCCAACATTTCCCAATGATGCCATCACATTAGGAATTTGTCATATACTCATCCACTGATGAAGTCAGAGGCCTTAGGATTTACTCATTAAGAGTCCCATTTATAACCACACCCTCAGCCATGGGCCATGTTTTCAGCCCTCTTGGGTGTGTTTCCCCTGTTACTGGATGCTAAGCATCCAGTAACAGAAACTTTTGAGGGACACTTCTTATGGAAACATATGACAGCCTTTACCTGCCAATTAAAACCAAGCCCCTCTTCTGAGGACTTTTGATGTCCTTTACTAGATTGCACTAATTCTTTGGGGCTTTTCCCCCAAAGCATGTATCTTCTAGTATCTTCTATACCTCAGTCTCAGGGCCTATTATCTACCCTATGTCCTGGTATGACCTCACCAGTCAGTATGTCCTTCTGTTCTGGATATTGATATAGCCCCAGTCTCTAGTAGAAAGTGAGTGTTCTATACATATAGTTCTGCTGGGTACCCTTTAAAAATTGCTATACTTTCACTTCTGATTCTGAGATTAAAAACCCAAATGCATAATAAAACTCTGTCAGGAGTTCAGGCGAGCTGGTTCCAGACTCCTCCAGTGACAGTTCTCCATGATGTCACTGCCGGGTTCAATGCCTTTATGTTCCAAGATGGGCCATGTTTTCAGCCCTCTTGGGTGTGTTTCTCCTGCCGGGCATCTACCTCTCTCTATTTTTTCCATGGGAGAAAATTGCCTTTCTCTATCAAAACCTGGAAACATGAGCTCTCTCCAGGGTCTTCTCCAGTACTGCAAACAAACATTGCTCTCTTAGTTTTTAGGCTGAATGCCCCTGTTGTAGTGTTGGACACACTGACCCCTGTCTCCTCTGCTCCTCACACGTGCTCTCACAATTACACCTTATTCATCTTTTTGTCTTCCGCAGAAGTGACCACAGTGTCTGTGACAGTATTGAGAGTTCAGCTGGTCAACGATGGGAAAGAAGAGTCATCTCTGTGTTGAATTGTGTAGATTGTCCCCAGTTATACGTGGTTAGACTTTGGGTCTTTCAACTTTACGGTGGTGTGGAATGACTTGGGAAGTAGAAACTGGGCTTCGCCTTTTTAATTTAGATCTTTTCCTTGGCTAGTAATGCTAGGCCAGATTCTCTCCGGCAATGTTCACAGCATCAGAGACCCTTTCTAGGAAGTCAGCCACAAGGGAAACAGCAGTGTTCTGTGGTTCTCTCTATGGCTAAGCAGTAAGACCTAGTAGGTCACATGCAGTCAGTGTGTTTGGGATTTAATGGCATTTTAATTAGTGACAATTTATGAGGATGTAACCCCACCCTCAGTCTAAAAGCACCTGTAATTGAAGGATTAAGTGTCCTCTTTATTTCAGCATGCTCAAACCATTGTTGTCTTCACCCCCAAAACTGTACCTCTCCACTGTGTTCCTTGTGTTAGCAATGAAGGGTCCATTCTGCTGACCTGAATCTGGTCACTCAGTCAGTCATATGACCTATGAATAGAGTTTGATTCCGATATACCTTCTTGGTGCATTGGTGGCCCTTACATTCTGCTGTCCAGAAACTGCCATGCAGCATTTGTCACCAGGATGACTGCCACAGAATACCTAGCACGTGGTTGATTCCATCAGTATTTGTGAGTGAAGGGATGACCTATGACAAAAGCATGTTCAAACCCCAACAGGCAACCGCTCCAGCCATATGGTCAAGCTCTTAAGGACTGTGTTTGATGCAGGAGACCAGGGGACATTTTTATGAAGACAGGGATCATATCATGGATGAAAGCCACCCACTTACCCGGCTGCCAGGAAGCAAAGAGACAGGAAGAGAAAAGCTAGAGTTCCAATACCCTGTTCAAGTGCACGCCTTTGAACTTCCTCCCAATGAACCCCACCTTCTAAAGACTGCACCACCTCTTGATAGCACCAGTGACTAGAGACCAAGCTTAACACATTGGACTTTTAGGGGAATACTCCAAATCCAAACTATAGCAATGTAGTTTTGGGGATCAGTCTTAAATGTTCCCTAAAGAATCTCCCAGGGATTACAGCCTAGAAACATTTTAAAGCAAGACTCCAGGATAAAAGGAAATGAGGCAATTGTAAAAATCTAACAAAAGTGTGAATGATCTTAATATTGTCCATTTACCATAGGAAGGGGCCCTTACCCCGCCCAGATCTCGGTGCTTCGAGAGTCTGAATACAGCAGTAGGGCAGCAGGAAGTGGTAAGCGATGGGTAGTGGAGACAGGGGCACCAGAACAGACAGCAGAGGAGTGTTTTCTTCTTCCCTTTTTCTCAACAAACAATCCTATAGAGGTTACATCTGCCATGTATTGGATGAGAAATTACCACACTAATAGTTACACTGACTCTCCTGTGAGTCTTCAGATGGCCTTTGGGGAGTTCTGTCATCTACCAAGCGAGCTCCTGACGTCTTCATCCCCCTTCCCTAGCACCTCTGTCAAGGTTGAATAAATTTGATTGAGATGGTGGTACATGCCTATAATCCTAGCTACTCAGGAAGTTGAAGCAGGAGTGTTGCTTGAGACTGGGAGACTGGGGCCAGCCTGCATGTCACAGTGAGAACCTGCCTCTTTAAATATAAGCAAATTCAGTAAAGGTGTTCTAGATCTCTAAGGGTTGGCTGACTGTCCCCAAGCTTTCAGAACACGTCAGTATGACTTCCATTCCAAAAGGCAAACGGAGCTCAGGTCACGTGGTTTCTGTTATCTGTCACCATGGAAAAGGCTAGCCATCTGTGAGGCTCCCATTTTAACACTTTTCCCCCCTTCTCTTTATTTCCATCGCTTTCTTGGGAAAAACAAGCTGAGGAAGTGGAGAGGCTGGCGGCAATGCGTTCTGACTCACTGGTCCCGGGTACGCACACCCCACCTATCCGGAGGAGGAGTAAGTTTGCCAACCTGGGAAGGATCTTCAAGCCTTGGAAATGGAGGAAGAAGAAAAGTGAAAAGTTCAAGCACACATCAGCAGGTAAGGTGGCTGCTGGCCTTGGCTCTCACTGGCTGTTCGCTGAGTTCAACTCTGCATCTTCATTTGGAGGGTTTGATTCCCATCAGCTGTCTGACCCAAAGCAGAAACTCCAGCCTTGGAATTGCTCTTGCCCTTAATAATTCCCGATATGATAAGGCATGGCTTTTAAGTCTCAGCTGCTGTCCCATCCATCATGAAGGTTTTTCTTCTCTCTTGTTGGCTATTTTTTAATTTAAAAATGACTGCTTTTGTTTGATCTATAAATGATCTGGACTTGGAATTCCACCTTCTCTATAATTGAATACTTTCACTCCAGCCCTGACAATCCATTTCTTATTATTCATTCACCCTGATTTTCACTGTTCCTGTAAAAGTCAACACGCGGCAGAAAATGACTTATGTACGGTCGTTGGCCGATAAGATCAGGTCATTTCATGGAGGAAGAATCATGAATAAATGATTCCTGGATGAGGCAGGAAAACAAAGAATGGAAGTGAATCCTCTCTGCAGTGTGAAGTTAATCATGCGTCTCATAGCTCTGTGGCCAGCTGGGAAACGTTGGCAGGGATAAGCTCAACCACAAGTCCTCATTCCTGGAGCCAGACTGCCTGGGTTCAAGTCCAAGTTCTGGTACTTGCTGGTATAGCAGCTTGCTTATTTTGTTTACCTGTCTCTCAGCTTCCTCATCAATAAAACAGGAGGATAAGAATCAGTACTTTATGTGATTTTTTTTTATTTGTGGAGACTTAATGAGAAAAGCAGGTGGCTGCTTTTAAGTACATGAGGATGTGGAGAGAAAAATGTGTAGGGAATGACGAGGATTTTCCTATCCTGTTGGTTCTGGAGGAGATGGCAGGAAATCTGTACTGTTTGAATTTGGTTTTGTGGCAGTCTTGGGTTGGTATACCAAAACACAACCCACTAGATGGCTTAAACAAGAGATGTTTATTTTTCATGGTCCCAGGTGAAGTTGCAAACTATGTTGTTTCTTTTGGAAAGCTATTGGTGGGCTCATCAGTGGTCTCCATCTTGCTACACTCATAGACCTTCTTCTTTCTGTGTATACACAGAGAGAATGCTGTCTAGGTGTCGCCTGAGGGAGGAGCTTATCAGAGGCTCCATGCTCTTGACCTCATTTAAACCTAGCTAGTCTCCAAAGACACACGTCTACCTACAGTTCACACTGGGGCTGAAGGATTCAGCATATGACCTTGAGAATATTACAAGTTAGTGTATAACCCTTTGTTTCTCTTTAAGGATCCCATCACTCCCTGGGCCCTCTTCCAGGCTTTGGTTTTCTTCTTCCACTCCCCAAGGTCATTACCTCCTCTATAGCTTGGGCTTCTGCCCTCTGCCCCACTCACAAACGAAATTCTTGAGAAGCAATTGGCTTCTTGTGCCTGAATGTCCATCAACAAACCCAAGAATCTCCAAGCCACGCAAAGAAACTAGAATAACAAACAGGAAGATTTTGAAGTGAGCATGGTTCTCATGACAGACACTCCCAGGACCTGCTCCCTGAACATCATAGCCCTATAGCTCTGATTTGCTGGTTTCTGCAAGGAGAATGGGCTTGTCGTTTATGAGTTTCTAAATCACTGCCTCTCTGAAGCAGTCCCTTCACTCTGACCCTGCCTTCTCCTCCCTGTGGATGGAAGCAAATAGGATGGTATCAGATAACTCATGAAATATTTGAAATCTGAAAACTTTGCATGTAAAGCTGTTTTGAGAAAAAGACTCCCGGGTTATAGCCAAAAGACCCTCTAACTTTAAATCCTTATCATTGTTCTTGTGGTGGCTACCATGACCAGGCTGTTGGATCTGGCAGCTAAGAATGCCATTTATATGTGATTTCTGTTTCTTTTTAAAAGATGCAGCTCCTAAAGGGACATAGTTTCAAACTGCCCTCTAAATATGTATCCCTGTGCCTGTGCCTAAGTGCGGCTTTCGACCTCACCAGCGAAGTTTCTTTGTACAATGCTGTGACCGCAGAAACTCCCAAAGATCCAAGTGCAGAGAATCAGTATCTGTGGAGTGCTCAACCATAAAGGATCATCTCCATCACACCTCCTTACCCCAAACCTTAGGGTACATCACGGAAAATGGGACAGAGGTCAGGGAGAAGTGGGGTGAACCAGCCTCCTCTGTATTTAACAGTTCGTGTGCACATGAGTTCACAGCAGCTGTGATTGCCCACAAAACCCCTTCACGAGGTCAAGCCAGTCAACATCCCAGCATGGAGCAGGGAAGAGCTCATGCCCATTAGAAAAAAATGAGAAAGAAGTGGAGAGGAAACCTAAATGAAATGCACTCCATAGGCAACATAAGGCCGAAGACAGCAAAACCAAAAGGAAATGGAAGTGTCCTCTGAGGGCCTGTTGATGGCTATTGCTGCTGAGGAGTCAGTGATCTTTAAGGTTGCGGCCCCAGTAGTTGTCTCTGCTCCAGGGGGTGGCTCCTAACCCACGTGTATGTGAGCAGCATGAATTGGACTCAGCGAGTTATTATACAAAAAAGAGAGAGAGCCGGGCGGTGGTGGTGCACGCCTTTAATCCCAGCACTCGGGAGGCAGAGCCAGGCGGATCTCTGTGAGTTTGAGGCCAGCCTGGGCTACCAAGTGAGTCCCAGGAAAGGCGCAAAGCTACACAGAGAAACCCTGTCTCGAAAAACCAAAAAAAAAAAAAAAAAAAGAGAGAACATGAAGTTAGGGAGGGATGAGGATTGACGGATAGATCTAGGAGGAGTTATGGGGATAAGCGGCATGTGATAAGGTCAAAATGCACTATAGACATGCAAGAAATTCTCCAAGAACTAGTAAGAATATTATATCAATAAAAAATAAAAAGACTAACTCCTGGATTAGAAAGTAGAGGGAACACTATACAACATCTTTTTACCATAATAGATGGATGAGCATACCACATTGCTGAAGATATTCTAGTTTATTTTAAATCTCATGTTTCACCCTGTAGCATCCCTTCTTTTTAATTGGATTCCAGAATGTTATTTATTATTTTTGCAGAGGAAAAACTTTCTGCGCTAGTTCTTAGCCCAAAGGGATAATTTGACAACATAGGTATAGTCAACACAATGAATTGTATCCCTGAATATAATTAAACATGTTGACTTTCCTATGTTTGAATAAGTCACATATACAAGAAATATACAAGAGGATTTCTAGCTTATGAGAATGTGAACTGGTCAGCTGTTGTCAGCTGGCATGCATACATCTGTCATGTATGTGTATCCTATTAAAGAAAAGACGTTATTCAGTTACTCTTATTGAAGCTGGTACAACCATCACAATAGGTAGAGCGGCCTTTGCAGTAGGGTCCTTCAGTCAGGGAGGGAGTTCAGATTTCACTCTAAGTCTTGTACACCCTAGGAAGCTGATTGAGGGTGAGGGGAGGCTGAGTGGGTGGGTAACAACTAAAAGAAAGCATCTTCAGGGATAGGAGAAATTCTGACTTAATCAACAAGTCTTTTTTTCTGAAAACAGGACAGGATGATCAAACATCACTGAAAAGAGATATAGTATAGGATAAAGAACTCTGCTGGAGACCAAGATGGGTCATATAGTAAAGGTGGAGGATTCTAGCTAAAACTGCATGATGCAGAGAGGAACACAGGAATCCCAGACCTTAGCCAGTCTCCTCCTTTGCTTCCTGAGCAGCAGGGATGTGAACAGGCATCTGCTGTAAGCATCTGCTTTCAGGAAGCCCTCTGCCACCATACTATCCCCACCATAACGGACCTCCATCCCCTCACTGTGAGCCTCCTCTAAGCTGTTTGTTATCAGTTGTTTAGTAACAGCAACTAGGAAAGGGACTAATATAACGTGATAACTTTTTCCAGTGACTTTGGCTATCCATCACAGCTATGGATAAAGCTATGGGCGCTATCCTGGGTTGGAATTTTGCCAGTTGAGTAAAAAGAGAATCAGGAAAGGAAAGGAAAAAGGCAAAGAAAAAGGAAAGAAAAGGAGAGGAAGGGAAGGGGGCAGGGGGAGGGAAGGGAAAGGAAAGGGGAAGGGAAGGGAAGGGAAGGGAGGGGAGGGGAGGGGAAGGGAAGGGAAGGGAAGGGAAGGGAAGGGAAGGGAAGGAAAGGAAAGGAAAGGAAAGGAAAGGAAAGGAAAGGAAAGGAAAGGAAAGGAAAGGAAAGGAAAGGAAAGGAAAGGAAAGGAAAGGGAAGGATTGGATTTTTACTTATGTCTAAGATTTCTGTAATAAGGTACTGTAAACTCAGTGTTATATAGCCATGGAAATGTGTTCGCTCACAGTTCAGAAGACCAGGAGTCGGATTGGCTCCCTGTGGCGTTCTGATGGAGAAGTTCTTCCACCTCTGTCCTTCCTGCTGCTGACGAGGCCAGCATTGCTTGTCCCGTTGCTGTGCTCTGTCCCTACCTGTGTCTCCATCTTTTTCCTTTATGTCTCTCTGGGTCTCAGATCCTTTCCCTTCTCTTACAAGGATGTTAGATTTAGGAAGAACATTTAGAAATAATCCCATTCAAAGATACTTCTGAGCCAGGCATGGTGTCTCACACCTGTTAGCACAGTACTAGGAAGACCTGTTACACAGTGAGTGCCCGGCCAGCTAGGCCTGCATAGTGAGACCCCATCTCAAAACAACAGCATCAACAAAAACACTTTGACTTTGTTACATTTGCTATTGGCTTATTTTCAAGTAAGTTTTCCTTTATGGTCACCAGGAACTTTCACGTGTCCTTTAGAAGGTAGCAAGGGTTAAAATAGACATTTAGGTTAGAAAAGAGAACTCCAGTAGATTGGCAGGAATTAGAAAAGCCAATAGACTTCAAGTCTCAGGGAGGTTAGTGGGAGAAGTAACTGGAGGGACAGGTGCACATGGAGACAAAACGCAGATCCTCAAGTAAAGGATCCTCAAGATGCTATTCTATGGAAACGAAACACAGATCAAAACCATGGCAGAGGCTTAAATGCCTGCATATCTTATTTGTAAACTTTTATGTTGACTTGACTTTG